GAGCCAAGAAAGGATTCATTCCTCGTAATAGATTAAGAGAGAACATTTTACTTCTCATATCTAGATGGATCATAAAGTCATTGGCCAATGCAAAGATGTATTCGTTTTGCATATCGAATATGATCGTTATGGATCATCTAGAAAGATTGAGAGATAGAGACTAAGTTATTGGAATAGACATAATATCATGTTCTAGACTTAGTTGAATGTTCGCTGAATGAAAGGACCGTATCACTATGAGCTCTATATTACAGGGAGTTTGAATAGTCCTCGCAAACGTCCTTATATATTAAGTTTGTCTGGTAAATTGTCTAGGGATTCTGCTAAGACCTTAATTTGATTAGTGCTTAATATATGAGGCCCTATGGGTCACACAACAAGTGATTATACCTTCCGATTGAATTGTTAGAATGAATTAAATATTATTAATTGGATTAAATAATATTTGATTCGTAATATTGAAAATGGATTAAATATTAGTTAGACTAAACTATATTTAATTCATGATGTCGAAGGAGAATTCTATTTGATAGAATTAGTTAAGTATGATAAATTAGATTTATTATACTTAACTAAAATGTATTTATAATTAAATAAAGTTTTCTTTTATAATTTAGAATTAAAAGAAAAGAAGAAAACAAAATAAATAGTAATACTAAGTTAAAGTGACGTGCAGCCATTTTCAACTAGTATTATAGATTTATTTTGTTTTGTTGATAAATCATTAATAAGTATTGGTCTTATTAGGACTAAAACTAATTAATGAGCAGGACTTTCATTGTGATTGGGAAACTAGTTTAGAACTAGTATAAATACATCCTCCTCCTTCATAATTAGATGATTAGTTTTCAGATTCAGTATTACCGGTTTATTTCCCTGCGAAGAGATTTCCTAGCCTTTCTCTATGGGAGATCTAACTGTTCTTTCGGAAAGGAGAAATCACGTGGATACCTAAGGTCAAGGATTATTACCACTAGGCTGGAGGATCTGTAAGTTCTAACTCAGATCTACTATTATTGTTATATTCGTTGTTTTGTCATAATCAGTAAAGATCTGTTTGGGAAAATTTTAAACTTCCGCTGCTGTACTTTCGAGGTACGTTACATCAATTTCCTAACAGCAGCACTTCCCTGAAGGCTGGTGAAAATTTCACCAACCTGGTCTGTTGGTCTGATCTGGTCGAAGCAGGCCATTTGGAGAGCATCAAGGTATGCACCTCAATCAGTTTTTCCTAGCATTAACCTTTTTTGCACTGTTGCTAATTTAGTTTCCCCACTTTTCAGGCCGATACTTATTATCATCGGGCTTTCCTGGCAGCTGAGTGGGAAATGATGCTGCTAGCTCGCGAACGGGATGAAAGTCAAACCCAAACCCTCCTTGCTGCTGCTTGCAAGATGGCCGCTGACCTTCAAGATCAAACCAATAAAGGGGACAAAGCGGTGGTTGAGCTGGCCGAGATGGAGGAACGACTCCATCGTCGCGATCAGGAGATCCGGGCCCTTCGTGCCAAGGTGAAGGCTGCTGAGGACCCAGGTCTAAAGTTTGAGAGGGTCAGAGGGAAAAAACCTTTTGCCATTTACACGGCCGATGCCTCGCAGATCACCGAACAAGCGGTGATTGATTTCCAACGGGGAAAAGGGCTGAACATCGCCCTAGAAAATACCGCTCGGCAGTTCCTCAGAAAACATCTCGGCGAGTTTCTGGAGAAATGCGAGGATCCTCTGACCGATAGCCTCAAGCTCTTGGACGAAACGCCCGCCGGAACAGCCTTTGCCAATGCCTTGGCCAGGGACACACTTGTTAAGTGCCAGGATATGCTGGATGATCGAAATCTCGAGGTGATTATGGAGCACTTCCCCGAGCCGTTTGATCCCGAGGAGGAAGACTTCGATGTGTTGTTCTGCTGTGCTTACAAGCGGGTGATGGAGAAAAGACAGAAGGCCAAGGACTCTGCCGAGCCATCAAATTCGAAGCCTGCTTCTTCCCCGAACAAGGATCCCCCCGTAGCATAGTTCCTTATATTTGTACTTCATTTTTTCATTCTTTTGTATTCCTAGACCGGTAGTGCCGAAGAATAAAGACATCTTTTTCTGTCTCAAGGCTGTTTACCGATCGTGCAAACATTAACTAAATTTTGGTTAAGTATTTAGCTAATGTCTGTCATCTTCGAAACCCATAGTTCCGATGCAACTTGTTCGGTTCTTCCGTTTCGGGCCATCCATACTAAGGGTTTGACATGTCCATTTTCAAACTAGGAAACAGGATCCCCTGCTCGGGTCACCCTCTTGTTTTAGCGAAAATGGATACTCACCTCCAAGTTATAACCCGGATTCCATCGTACGATTCCCTCTCGTCGTGGCTTGTTCGAGCTACATAACTGAGGCAAGATTTAAAAACCAGAGTCTCGATCCCCCGCTCGGTCACCCGTGTTACCGAGTGTCGCCCGGTTCGTCCTACTCATAGTTTTACACCATCTTCTAAACTAGCCTGAATCCCCTGCTCGGTCATCCGGAGCACAAGTTCAAGTCCTAGCTGAAATGATGGCTCCCTAGCTCCAGATCAAGATGAAGGTTCTCATTCGGTCGTCCAGAATGATTGCCATTTGAGCAAGCTGATCGAGGTGAGGCTTCTGGCCATGGTTGTGATAATGTCGTTCGGTCTTCGCGACCTGGTTATCCAACTTCTGGCCCCTTGTGGAAGCTAATTTCTTCTTCTTTATGTATCTTTATGTACATAATTTTTTTTAAAAGGTGGCAACAACCGTTGTTTTCCTTAAGAGGTGAGGCTTATGGCCCCTTGTTTGTATTGCTTTCCTTATATATTGCCGTATGGCTTTGTATAAATAGCGGCAGACATATGATGCAATACATCAACCTACGACATTTTCATCTTTTTCCTAAAGCTATGTTTTTACTACCTATTATAATTGTAAATAAATAATACCCGTAGTAATAAATATTAAAAGTTTCATAAGCACACAAATTACAAATTATTGAAGACCTTGTAGACAACGTTTTTATAGGTTTTTTGAATTTTTTTCATCATCGCATGTTACGAACTTTAAGTCAAACGGTCTTGTCAGACTCGAAATCACAACATACAAATGTGCATGCGTAAAAAGAGGACGTGAGAGAAAACAAAACGATTTGCCACGATTACCCTTGACTCCTGCCTCTTTTGAAAGAATATTGTTACCTTTTGAGTTTTGAAATTGTACTATTTTGCATATGTTAACCATGTACTACACAATCTTGTTTAAACAATTTAAAAACAACCTCCCCCTTTGTGTATTAAGCCGATTAGCCGAGTAAGAACTTCCACACACACACACACACACATATCACAAAACTTATGTCTAGACATGAATAAAAACCGACATATATTATTGTCTGTAATGCATATATAGAAGTTTCTATCAAGTATTCCCAAAAGCAAAAAACCAACTGAGGAACATCTACTATGTGCCACTTCCGAAAGTTTTATTCTGCTTCATAACTGAACGTGTAAATGATCTTGAGCTGTAATAAATAATGCATATAACTAAGAAACTGAGACACCATGATGCATTTACTCACATAGTGAAACCATTTCTTTTATTTCTTGTTCATGAACTTTTGTGAATTACATACTTTACTAATTAGTTTTAAAAAATGTCATTTATTTAAGCAATTTACTGTTTTGTATAATTTAAACACAAAGACATTGTAAAATTTTAAAACTACTAATTATGAACATTCGGCATATTTCCATTTCTAATATGATTTTTCATCAGTGTGAGTCATGCCAATACGTGATTTTTCTGAAATGCTTCATACCATATGCAATTTATGTGTATATACATGATATCAAAATTAAGAATTCATTAAAAGAACGTACATGACGAAATTGGATCAAGTTTATCACATCAGTGGGTTTCAAGTATATATCAGAATGGTGGCCACCTATCGTTGCTCGCTTTTTCTTCGGATTTCATATCATTTTAGGTAAGCCATCTAAATTTACGGAAGTTAGAATGAAGATTTTGTAGTGGGAAAATGGAAACTAATAATCCAACCTTTTAACGGTCTTCTTTCAATGATCCCACCTTTTGATTATTCATGAATAATCCGACCTTTGCACCTCATCTTCATTCATTAGTCCCTGGTCGGTTAATGACCTACTATTCCAAGTTATTTTCTTATCTTTTCAAAATATTATCTTTGTGAAAGATGAGATTTATTGTATAATGATTTGCAAAGATAAGAAAATAGCTTGGAATAGCAGGTCATCAACCGGTCAGGGACCAGTGAATGAAGATGAGGTGCAAAGGTTGGATTATTCATGAATAATCAAAATGTGGGATTATTGAAAGAAGACCGCTAAAAGGTTGGATTATTAGTTTCCATTTTTCCAATATTTTATTACTTTACAACCTTTTTTGAACAATTGTTTCTATAATAATTATTCAAATAAGTTACTCCCGCATATTTTTATGTTATAGTTTATTTTTTTAATAATTAATAATCATTGTTCACAAATATTGACTCAAAAGATCTACTAAATGCATCTTTATTTTTGTACAATAACTGCTATTTCTTGATACCGTTTAGTAGTTATCAAATTTAATATAAAAATGATTTATTAATATTTTTAATTAAACTTATCAAGTATTTTTAATTAAAACAACACATGACAATAGATGAAACTATATGTATATATATATATAGTCTTGGGTTTAAGTGAAAAATTGGTCGTAATAATTTTCCTCAAAGTTCATATTAATTGCATAAAAACCTAGAAACAGTTAGAAGCAACCAAATACCAGCTTTTGGCTTTAAAATGTTTTTCTTAAGTAGAAGTTGCTTTAAGCACTGATTTCAACTTCTTTTAAGCTAAAAGCTAATAACTGCATTTTTTATCTTTCGCAAACATTGCCTTAAAAAGTTAAAAGCATTTGGCAATAGCGTTTGCAAACAAAGCATTAGTGCTACTTAGTGATTGAACTCTTTATACTTATGAAATTTTCTCATAAATTTATTAAATTAAAATAATTTAAGTATATTTTTAGATAATGTACTGTGGTTTGAGTACACTCAGTAATTCGAGTATATAATTTGAGAAATATCCATTTTATCGTTTGAATGTAGTCAATGTACTATGGTACAGACAGATATACATCCACTCTAATACACTACTAGTGTAGTTGACAAACAAAGGCGCTAGAGAAAACATGATCAATTAAATTCCATATACACCAAGACTCCAAAACATAGAAACACAAACAGCCAAAATGAACCGATCGCCATGCTCGGAGCTCGACGTACACAGACCACAGAGATCAAGACGTACACTGGCCCCAGATTCGTTACCATACGTGGATAAAGAATATTGAAGCACCGCCATTGATTCAGAACTCTTTGACCTTCAAATGACATATGAACGAAATGCCTTTGCGTTGGGACTGCCGGGCTTCATTTTCGGGTTGGACTGAACAGGCTTTTGAACAAAGCCTGCAAAAAATGGCGAAAAAACGCCTCAGCCTTCTCCAAATCAGCTAAGCCACCAAAGACGTGAAATTATAAATATGTGATATTCTATCCTCCGAGTTCAAGGATGTATGTTAGGATGCTTCTAACCACGGTCAATCTCGAAACCACACGCCATTTCAGGAGAGTATATCGCACCGCCACAGGTTCTCAACTAGGAGTTGAATCGCACTGCTACCCATGGAGTTGCAGTTCTGGAGATTCAACCCCAGCAGACTCTTCCCCAAATTTTCTAAACAAGGAAGACTCTTCTCGGTGACCATTCCGCAACACGACAAGGAAAGAATCTGCAGGTTCCTCTGCACACCATGTGCCAAAGCAGCAACACCCGAATCAGTTACTGAGCACCTGGAAACATCAAGATCATTAAGCAGCACACAGTTTTCAGCAAGTGCCGTCAAACTCGTATCAGTAATCTTCGGGCAGCCGTCGAGATTCAGAACCTCAAGAGTCCGCCCATGGAGCTGGGCAAGCACCACCACCACTTCATCCGTCAAGTTTGGGCAGTTACTCAGATTCACTTTCACCAGTCCCGCCTCACAGCTCTTGATGAGCGGGATAAGACCCAAATCCGTAATCCCGCTGAGTCCGTCAAGATCCAGAGATCTAAGAGACCCACAAGACGACATAAACGGGATTTGTGAATCAAGACTGTTCACACCATAACACTTAGTAACTGATATTGATTTAAGTTTTCTGCAATTGGAAACCGCATTGAGCAAACCGGTTCGGGTGACCCGATTACACTCCTCCAGCTTCAGGATTTCAAGCAATTCTTTTGCTTTTGTGAACGCTGATAACCCGAAATCCGACACGAATAAACACTTGCGAAGACAAATATGCTTTAGATTCAAACAGCCCTTTCCTAATTCTTCAAGACTCAAGTCTGTTATCCCCCGGCATGAAGAAATGGTCAATGAGGTCAACTTCTGCAGACCATGGGCATTACCCATTACCCAAAACCCCTTTTGGGTCACGTTATGAAGCTCCCCAAGGTCAAGACGGGTAATTTCGTTCCCGTAATGTCCGATAACAGCAAGCGAGAAATCTGTTATGCTCAGACCGTGAAGTTTAACCTTCGTGACCGAGGAAGCAGATGATAAAAGACCAGCAATGCCCTCGTCTGAAATTACCAGGCAGTCCTTAACGGTAAGCGATCGTAACTCAGGGCAGCGCCTTCCAATAGCCCTAATTCCCTCGTTCCCAACACAAGGGCATGATTCAACTGTTAAAGATGTTAAATTAGGGCAATTCTCAGCAATTGAAAGGAGACCTTTGTTGGAAATCGAAGTACAGTGAGATAAATCAAGCTTCTCCAATGAATGACATCCCTTAGCAATCACATAAAGGCCTTCGTCACTTACAGAAGAGACATTCCATAGGGATAGAACCTTGAGGGAAGGGCAAGCACGGGCGATTGCTAATAAACCTACATTAGTAACTCCATGGCTCCCTCTGATATAAAGCTTGCCAAGTCCACCACGGCTTGAAGTGCCGACGGAAATGGCTTGCAATCTAATATCGGAAGCTTTCTTCCCTTCCAGTGACCTAGTAAGGTACCCTGCACACTCGCCTTTCAGATCTTTGGTATGACAAACACTACTTAAGATTGTCAGCCAGCGCTTGGAAACAAGGGAGGAGACACTCCTTTCCCGGGGACCGGAGAGACGGCTAAAGATCTCAAACAAACATTCATCTGGAAGAACCTCAATGGATGATTTAGTGTTCTCCTCTTGAACAACAAGATACGGGCAGGTAACTCTTGCCCGTTTTCTTGGCGGGCAGTAAACATCCACACAACCTAGAGATAGCATAATGCCACCAGAATCTGCAGCGCGTAATGGACTTCCATTGTAGAATTCAACATCACCTAAAAATTTAAAAAAAGGGAAATCTGTTTAATATATAATCTTCACTAAATCAAAGTTATGAACTGTGAAAGCGGGTGAAATCATCTAAGCTAAAAGTTTAAGCAGAAAAAACTATTAAGTCTTTACTAATTGAAGAAAGGTGACAAGGGAGTTAGAGAATGATCCAGAAATTGTAAAATCATCTCAAATCTCAAATTTACCCAGATCATATCACCTACAATTAATCACTGAGTAAATTTGAAATATATTTATCGTTGAACTCTTTTATCCTCTACATATATATCACTATCCTTGCATGAATTAAATTTAAATACTATTATGACAAATAAATCACTTCTCAAGTTATTCAAACAGTTTTCTAAGTCTTTGTTGGAGTTGTGATTGGGTTTGAATGCAATCATTTCTTAAAGTCAATTTCATAGAAGGAAAGAAAGATTAGTCTCTTAGGTTTTTTATATTTGTTCCAAGTGTGATCAGTCTATAAACATCAAAATGTTTCATTCTAATTCAAGTAATATTTTTTATCTCATTTAGGGAACAACTTGAGGACGAATCTTTCTGGCAAAAAAGAACATTTTATATATATCAAATTTACATTCATAACTAACATACCTATATTCAGCTCAGATTCTAAATATGATAACACAATTTTCATCCAAAGTATGTCTAATTTAGGGCATTATTCCATAAACTAATTTCTAAAAATACGTTTCCTAACCATTATATAATTACCAAAGAAAGGCAAAAACAGTTTAGATCTCAAGAAAAGCAGTGAATAGCAGAATCTATGATCATGCTTAGCCATAATTGACACAATATTAAACAAAGTTCAATTTACCCAAAAAGGGCGAAGCATGGAACTTCAAAAGCTCACCACTATAATCAAGAAGGGTAGGCATCTTTGATGTTCTTCAATTTCAAGAAAACCTCAGCAAATCTTTTACCCAAAAGATGAGATTTTTCACCAAGAATAGCACAACCCAGATTTTAACTCCACACAATCATTGCATTAGAGGTGCAGAAGCCCAATATTTCCCAAAATATCCCCACTTGCAAATGAATAGAGAACAAGAAAGATGAAGAAGCCAAAATATATGTGCTCTGACTTGCAGGTCTATTTGATCCAGCAAATGAATAAATATATACACACACGATATATGTCTAATACATAAAATAATTTTATAAAGATGTTTTTTTAGAGAAATTTTTTATATAGAGGTTAATGTATTTGGTGAGACGTCTATAAAGGCAACAGTATATAGCGATACCCGGAACGGACTCCCAGGTCTTGCCCACTCAAGCAAGCGTTCAATGAATCATTCCCCGGAACCGGTGCTGCCGGTTATTGTTCAGCGCACCCGGCCCGTTCATCAAGGCAGGTTCCTCTTTCTGCTTCAAGGCCAGCTAACCACGTGCCTTTACTGACTACCGGCTGCATGCGCGTTTATTCGTATTCAGATGATCCTTTTCATACGGAATAGTTTTGATTTGGAATTTGAAAAGTATGACACCACATCTCCAACACCGATCGGACGACACGATAGGAGAATGTAAATTGGATTATAATCAAAATTTGACAGATAGAAAATGTGGCCCTGTTCCTGATACTTGCAAAGGCTCTCTGCATTTTTCAGCATAGTAACCCCCATCGCAGTTGTCGGGATTCGAATCAACCAAATTCTATTAAATCGAATTAAATTAAAAATTCATTTGGCTATTTTATTTTTCAACTTACTAGTTAACTTTTGTTCAAAAAAAAACTTACTCCCTCCGTCCCTCTATTAAGTTCCTATTTTGACCTACACACATATTTAGGAAATAAATTTGACATTACTATTTAGACACTATTTGGCACTGTTTAGACATTGTTTGGCACTGTTTTGCATTGTTTGACACTGTTTTGATGTAGGATAACTTTCCATTTAGGGAAATGAGAAGATTATTTTGGAACGGCTCAAAAAGGAAAGTAGGAAGTTAATAGCGGGACGGAGGCAGTACTAGTTAACTTGTTTTGTTTTAAAGAATGGTACTTTAACAACTTTTTTTATTTGAGAGATGGAATTGCTTGCAAAAGATGCGGCTGTTTTCTTTCTCTCTCTAGCGGCAGCGCCACTTAGGGTTTCTTCAAATTTGTCTGGTGGTGATTTCCGATCACGGCACCGGTTCCCTGTTGGAATTTCGGATTTTTTGTTGGAAGAAGATGAGTATTCTCAGTTGGAATTGCAGATGTCTTGGAAACCCTGCTTCAAGGCAGTGTTTGACTGATGTTGTGCAGCAGAAGAAACCATCCATCATCTTCTTGTTGGAAACCAAATTGAGAAGCAATCGGGCGAAAGAGCTTCTTCGATCGCTCAGCTTCACCAACGTGGAAGTTTCAAATGCTGACGGACAGAGTGGAGGGCTCGCGCCAGTGCATCCCCCTCCCGAGCCGCCGCCATGCAGTGCAAGCAGGGTGAAGAACGTTCGGGTGCTTGTGCGGATTGGCAGGCTCAGACAGAGTTTCAAGTTTATTTGCTTTTTATTTTTCCTTAGTGACAATTTATTTTGTTGTGTCTTTTTTTCGATGTTGTTGTTCCTTTCTGCAAGGCGATTGATTTGAATGTGGGTGATGAGAGGATTGCGGTAACCGTCTTTGACTCTTTTTGTGCCCATTAATGGATCAGCGAATTACATTGCTTCGCTAGAGGTGATTAATTCCGAGTTTAGTTCATGGGACGACGGTTGTCAGGAATCTTTTTGTCGGTTTATCCATAATCTGAATTGTGTGTTATCTATATCAGCCGAATTCTTCCAAAAAAAAACTTACTAGTTAACTTCTTTTGATTTTTTTTTATTTTGAACATGAAATTATTAAGTAACGTTGAAATTATTTTTCTATTTGAATTTACTAAAGTTACTATAGAAAAATATTTTAACTATTTTTATATAGGTTTACTTTATTTCATTAATAAAGTATGTTTTTGATATAATTTTTCATAAAATATGCAGAATCGGTCATTTAGACCAGAAGTTCATAAATTTAAGCAGGATCAACTGATTTAACAAATTTCAATATAATCAAACAAACTCTAAATTGAATTGGAAATCAAATTTTATACAATTTTATTTGAGTTTGATACCATTTGTTTTCAAATTACATTAAATTGAAAACTGCAAAAAAATCGAATAAAAACAATCGAACTACAAAAATCAATAGAACCTTTAGGTATTTATAAAAAACATCAAATTCAATCCCAATCAAATCCAAACATAGTAATTTTTTAATTTGGAAATTATTTTTCATTCAATTTCAACCGAACAGAAAATCGATAAAACTAGCTAAAACCTAGATACACACCTATAATTTGGAAGTAATACTCCCTTCTTCTCCTCAAAAGATGTTCTCAATTACTTAAAGGCAAATGCAAATATAAGATTGCAAGGTGCATAAATATAACTAAAATTCATATTAATGAATTTTATCCTTAATGACTTTAAATAATTAAAAAACTAAAAATAAACTAATGAATGTATTGAGTTTAGTACATAATTATTTTTTGTCTGTTCTCTGTTTTGTCTGTGAAAATGTGCACAGGTGAACACATGTCTTTTTTGTTTGTGATGAACGAGATTCACAGACAAAAATAATCTCTCATAGGGGTGAGTATAAAGTGGGTATAAGGGTGTGGGTACAAATATAATGTTTTCTCTAAAATTTGTGTCAATAACGTAAATTTTGTAATGTGTGCTTCAACAACCTAATCCAAAATAGGGGTGGACTCGGGCCGGGCGGCCCGGCCCGGCTCGGAACCGGCCCGACCCGGTCACTGTTTGAACCGGCCTGAACCGCCGGCCCGGCCAGGGACCGGTCCGGGAAGGCCCGACCCGCTGGGGTTCAGGGCCGGGCTCGGGCCCTTGAAAAGGTGAAACGGCCCGGCCAGTTCGGGCCCGATCTGGGCCTATTTATTTTTTTTCTTTTTTTTGAATTTTTTTTAAGTTTTTGGGTTGGGATGGGTATTTTGGGCCATTTGAGTTGGTTTGGGGGTGAGGGGGGAGGGTTGGGGGTTAATTAGGAAAAGCCAAAAAAAAATTAAGTAGAACCGAGGCCCGGCTTGGCCCGAACCGAACCCGGGGGTTACCCGGACCGGTTCCGGGCCTCCCCTTTCATGAACCGAGGCCCGGCCGGGCCCGAACCGGTCCGAGTTCACCCCTAATCCAAAAAGGTGGAATCGCCCACCTCAAACGCCTCACACCTCGACCCAACAGAATGGTGAAGGAGTAATTCACATTATATCTCAAACAGTTTCTAGGTGAGGTGGTTTAAGGCGTGGTGCGCACAAAGAGCCACACATTAGATGAAACTCCCATACTGCTGTTGCCGAAAATTGAACTGAGAGCTTAATCAATTAGCCACCCTTGAACTACTTGTGCGTGTTGTGCTTAGACAACCTATATTACTCAATTTCTACTTAGGCTCTCTTTCCATGATACACCAAAGTCTAGGGATTCGTTCTAATAAACTCCATGAAGAAGGCAATGTTAACCTGTCAAGTTGAAGCATGAAACCATGTTCAATTACTACCTCTGTCCCAAATTTATTTGCAAATTTGACTTTTCTTGGTCAAACAGTTTTATTTTGTGTGCTTAATCAGGATGTAAATTATTAATAATATTCTAATTTGGTGTTTACAACTTTGAAGAGATTTTAATGTAGTTTATGAATATGTAAATTTTATTTATTAAAAATTGAGTTAATTATCCGTAAAGAGGGTTGACTTTTATTATTGGTTGACCAAAAAATGTTGACTTTGCAAAACAAATTGGGATGGAGGAGTACTAAAGAAAAACAAATTAAATAACAGTGTCAATGTATTTTTTTTTATCATCAAACGGACCTCAATTCATATCAAAAGATTCAGGATCATTACATCAAGCAAAAGGAAAATAAAACTGACACCAACTGAAACTTCAACAACTACGACTGTAACCCTATGGTGAGACTTTGAGACGGTCACCCCTGAGAGAGCAACACGAATCGCTAACCATGTAGTGGGCTTGACACAGCCAAACCTATTCCCATAGATCCAACCATACCCAATGACATAAAGAGAGGCAAAAAACTCAAACAAACTGTCAAAACCAACAACAAAAGTGGACACAAGAAAACAAATAACAAACGGATAAAAACTAAAAGTAAAGCGTTCACGAACTCTAGCACCTTGTACATCCCATGGTGGTGGTTCAGGAGGAGGTCTTACCACCAGTATCATGCTAATTGATACTCCGTGACCTTTGTCTGCCAAAGGCCATGCATCAATCCTCCGTCCCTGCATAACCAAACTCATCCCTGCTTCATGCAACCAGAGTAAACGGATAGGCGGCGCCGATCTTCTCCAACGACGACAGCAATACATCATCCTCGGACCTTGACCACAACGCCGATCTCCTCGAGCCATGACAGCAAATCCGCCCTTCGAGTATGAAGCACAAACAACAACAACCGTCCTTCGATTAAAATCGAAGACGGAAATTGCGGCCGTCCTTCGATTAAAATCGAAGATGGCAAAAGCGGTCGTCCTTCGATTAAAATCGAAGACGGAAAAAAACTCCAAGAGGCCGAAGCCCTAGAGAGAAGCGAGAGACCTAGCCTTGAATATTATCAGTGTCAATGTATTTTAGATAAACATAATAATAATTACTCCGTACATCTTTAAAAAATAACAAGGTTTATGCATGTAAAAAATTAAATATCGTGATCGAAAGTAACATGGGCGGATCTATGTTGGGGCAGGGGTGGGCTCCAGCCCAGCCCAGCCCAATTTATTTTTGTTATTATAGGTATAGGTTTAATTTCTAGCCCACCTCAAAATTAATGTCTACCCAGCCCAAACCTACCAACTTTGTAATTCTATTTGATTATTAATTGAATTTTTTCAGTAGATAGTAAAATAGTTTTTATTTATTATAAATTTATAATGATTAAAGATAGAATTAAAGATTAGAAAATGATTTATTTATTATGCAATTAAAGAATAGAGAACGATGTATTTACTGTTTAGGCATGTAAGAATGGATTCAAAATCTCAATTCAATTTTAAAATTGGGAATACTTATTAGTTTTATGTACATCGACTATTTT